ACACGACGTACACGGGGGATTACATGATTGACAGTCAGATTGACAGGCCTGCATGAAGTTACGCATGCTCTCTTTCCCTTTTCTAGCTTATTTGCATTTTCCCGTGCGACGTTTTTCAATGGGCGCGATTCCGTAATGAATCTCGCCCGAATGTTCAGAGTGCATGATCTACAGTCATAAATTTGATCTAGTATCTGAAAATCTTCATCTCACTTCTAATCTCTCCTAGCCAGAGGGCGCTATATTTAACAATTATTCCACGAGCGCGCGTTGGATCCAACAAGCGCGAGTGGAATAATTGTTTTATTAAAAAAACGCCCCCAAGATATTAGACAAATCTTCTCGACTTTATTTTGTAATAAGAAACCGGATATTACAATGTACAGATATTAGATTATGGTACATTGGCTCATATAACATAATGGCTGAGCCAATAAAAAGTCTTGAATTGCATTATCCAATGATCCAGTTTTTAATAAAAAGTGTTATATCATATTATAGTACCATAGTATCATAGTATGCATTGGACTCAAGTTGTTGTGGTGTACTGCATTTATTTTGTGTGTTTCTACTGATTAAGTTGTAATACTCAAGTATCAGATAGCGAATGTTCTCTCATTTCCCCCTAAAGTGTCCAATTCGAAACCTATTGTGTAGAAACCTCAAATGAAGAACATCCAGTCGAAATCGATGTTATCAAAATTGTAATTATGTTATCTATTGGATTCAGGTCACGAATTAAACCATAACAAAGGTTCTCTAAATTTGTCCGAGGAATTGATGTTATCAAAATTGTATTCCTTGATAACTCTTTAGACTCTTTAATTCTGTCTTAATTTCCTAGACAAAGTAAAAACAGTTCTTAAACTCTTTTGTAGGCTAGTATTACTTTTAATGAACCAATATAAGTATAGAAAATTCTCTTACTCTGGCCATGGGTACAACCACATTGGAAACGATTAGTTTGTACTGAACAGTCATTTCACTCAACTGAATTAAACTCTCGCTCCGCTAATGTCATTCAAAGTCAACATATCCTCAGTATGAACGCACATTTATTTCTTGCGCCACCCCCCTAACCAACCAGATGCCAAGACTTTTCTGTAAGTTCGAAACTTTATTTGTTTTCACTCTCATTTCCCAATGGTTTCTTGAGATTGTCGGTTGAATTAAGCATTGGTTGTTAAAAAATTCTTATTTAGCTGAAAAAAATCATTTCGGTACTGCACAAAGAGTTATTGCATAGCTAACAGTTTGGCGAAATCCTTTGTGTAATAGTGTTATCTCTTGTGAATTAAAGTTTCCAAAACGGTGTTGTAAGTTTCATCTGATTGGTTGAGTGGCACGAATGTTCTAAGAAAAAAATCTGCATTCACACTGCGGATTTGTTGACTTAGAACTGAAATATAATAGCTGACCCGGAAGATGGATTAATTAAGTGAAATGAGAACTTTGTCGGCATTACTGTCTTAAATGTCTTCATTGTTCAAAGTTTGAAGGATTTTGGAAGTGTCACGATAAAATCTACCCGATACCCTTAAGGCTCTGTAATATTCTAAAAACGCTTCCATTTTGGAGGCCTTTATTCAGCTTAACTGTCTTTTCCCAAGGCATTCAAACTGCCACTTTTCTCAGTTTCTTTAAAACACAGATGCAAATGGTTTAAGAAGAGTAGGTAACATGGCCACCACGACTGCCAAAGCTCCTGCTCCGCTGAATCTATTCGACCGTTTGCACCAAGGTGAAAACTGGAAATTGTTTCGCCGAGAGTGGAAATTCTATGAATTAGCAGCTGGCATTCATAGGAAGGCGGATGAAGTTCGTGTTGCTTCTTTGTTAAACGTTGTTGTCAAAGAGGGATTGGACACTAGTGTACGAAACCTTTCAGTGGGAGGATGCGTCTCATGCTCTTAAAATCGACAAAGTTTTGGAAAAGTTTGAAGAGCGCTGCGTTCCTGCTCGGAATGAAACGTACGAAAGGTTTGTTTTCTTCAAACGTCAGCAATTGCCGAGCGCGTCGCTCGATTGTTACATAACAGCTTTGATGAAGCTCTCTGAGAACTGTGGTTTTGGAACGCTCCGTGAATCGCTTGTTCTCGATCGTTTGATTCTTGGAGTAAAGGATGACAGGATTCGGGAAAAGCTCCTTGGAAAGTGTGATCTCGACCTGGATAAAGCCGTTGAAATTATCAAGGCTAGTCAGGTTACTCATTCGCGTGCCTCGGAAATTCCAGGCGAAGCTTCGGCTCAGGAAGATGTCAATGCTGTGAAACACAAACCTAAGCCACAGAGGAAATCGGAGAAAGGGAAGCTCCCGAAAAGTTCCACTCGAAACCCTTCGTCTAACAGCAAAATTAAAGAATATCTCTTTTGCGGTGGCAAACATGCACTTGACAGAAAGCTATGTCCAGCATCCGGACAAACATGCAAGAAATGTGGCAAAGTTGGACACTTCTCGGTCAAATGTCGCAGTAAGTCTGTGAATGTGAATGTTAATGATGTCAAGGAAGTTTTCTACTTAAATGACATCAGTGGCAAAGATCAGGCTCTTGCTCCAGTCACTCTAAATGACACTGTTTCAATGACATTCCAGATTGATATAGGCTCATCGTCAAATATTTTGCAACTAGAGGATTACATCAGAGCCACCAATGATTTCAAAACACCTAGCATTATTCCTAAAGATATCACACTAGTGGTGCATGATCACTCTAAGCGAAAGGCATTGGGTTCTGCAAGGTTGAAAGTTGAGCATGATGCCAACAAACATGAACTGAACTTTGTCATTGTTGATCAAAGGCTTACACCTTTGTTGGGCTTAAAGTCTTGTAGAGGTATGGGTCTTGTTAAAATCATGGTACCTGGTATTTATGCCCCTGTTAACAAAGTTGTTGCTACCCCAAAGAAAGCTGTATCTGAGAGTATTACTACAGATTCTGTGCTTAGATCCCTTGCTGATGTATTTCAAGGTATTTGTTGTTTACCTGGTGAATACAGTATTTCATTACAGAGGGATGTAAGTCAAGTAGTACATCCTCCTCGTGGAGTGCCTGTTCCAAATTAAGATGCCACGAAGGCAGAGCTGGAAAACTTGGTTAGCAACTAGATTATTTCACCTGTTACTGAGCCAACCAATTGGGTATCCAGTGTCTTGGCCGTGCCAAAAAAGATGGGCCAATCCGTGTATGCCTGGACCCCAAAGATTTGAACTCTGCTATTAAGCGTTCACACTACCCCCTACCTACGGGAGGTGATGTTACGTCCCGACTCACCAAGGCAAAAGTCTTCAGTGTCGTGGATGCAAAAACTGGTTTCTGGCAAGTGAAGCTGTCAGAGAGTTCCAGTTATTACACAACGTTTAAAACTCTATTTGGCAGATTTCGCTGGTTCAGAATGCCGTTTGGAATTTCTTCTGCGCCTGAGGTATGGCAGCGGAAAATGCATGAAGCAATTGAGGGTCTTCAGGGAGTGGAGGTCATAGTTGATGACTTTCTCGTGTGTGGTTTTTGAGACACAGTTGCAAATGTAGTCCTGGATCACGATCAGAATTTAACTGCATTTCTTGAAAAGTGCCGCAAGCTGAATCTAACTCTTAATCCTCAGAAAGTCAAGCTCCGCTTCTCCGAAGTACCTTTCATGGGTCATTTNTTCGTATTTATCACTGGCACGGAAAAAAGAGAACAATTTGAATCCCCACGAAGAATAGAACCTCAGACGTTGTGATTTTCTCCCTCTTAGATACAAGTGACCTCGAATATGACTCTGGTCATCATTTGTATGAAAGTGAGAGTTCTTTAGGACCGGGTGGATTTTGGATGTAATTTCGCCGCTGAAGGGTGGTCAAAAACGTCTTTGCGACGAAGGCTTTGATTATAACTCCATGGATATATGAATAAGACCCAGTTGTTCTACTTTCCATGTCGGAAGGATAGACAAGGGCCTGGTACAAAGTATGAAGTACGTCTTGTCTCGCAAGTCCATATTGTGATTAATTAGGCCATTCATGCATTTGTATACGTGTACACATCTTCTTTGAAATCGCCTTTTCTCTAGAGGCAGCCACTTGAGAACGGCTAATGCCTCAGTGGAGGATGAGTACAATGGACTATTTAAAATAACCCATCAGTTTAATAACATCAGTTCGGATCAGGACATCATGGCAGTCGAATGCAGACTCAGGCTCTCTGTGAACATTTGTATATTTCTCTGCATTTATGTGTATTTTGTAAATTACAAATCCTTTTATCTGCAGAAGAGCACTTTTCTAAACGACGGTGATGTGCTTTTTGTCTCAAAAGTGAGCTGCAGAACTGAAATTGCGGGTAATTTACGCCAACAGAGGAATCCGTCCGGAGATGAAGAGCTTAGTAATTTGCTGAAAGCTTTTATGCTTTGTAAGCTATTTCATCGAGCCTGTTTCGCCCTAGCCCTAATTGCTCTGGCCGGTCATATTGAGTCTAACCCCGGCTACCAGACGCTACACGACATAAGGAACACTCGTGGACTGAAAATTGCTCACTTAAACATTCGAAGTCTCGTACGCAAGACCGACTCTTTGTGCCTTGAGGGAATCGACAGTAAAGCATTGGACATTCTATATCTATCCGAGACATGAATGGATGGGAATATTTGCGACACAGATATTAATCTTCCTGGATTCGTGAGCGTTGGTCTGGGTCGCACTGGTATTAAAGAGGGATATGGTGGTGTAGCTATCTATGTGAGAGAAGGTTTGGCTTTTCGCCCGCGGAATGATATTAATACTGGCGGTCAGGAATGTCTATGGATCGAGTTTATTAGAGACAAATACAAGCCAACACTCGTCTGCTGCGCTTAAAGAGCACCGGATTCTGACTTTCAGGCCTTTATTTCTTCGCTACATGAGAGTATGTCATCTGTGGATCTGGAAAAATCGGATGTGGTAATTCTCGGCGAATTTAACGCAGGCATGATGACGAGTTCTAAATTGCCAAAAAGAGATAAACAAGAACTTCTTAACTTCTCACGGGCCTACAACTCCACTCAGTTAATAAAAGAACGGACGCGCATAACTAACACCTCGCAGACAATGATCGACTTGCTCTTTGATAATAATGAACACCGCATTGCCAAACCTGGTGTTGATCCGATACCGCTCAGCGACCATTTTCTGGTATTTTGCATAATTAAAGCTGATATTACACCAAAGGCTAAACCGAGAATACTCGAGTATCGCTCCTTTAAGAATATCAGTCCGACTTTATTTAATAATGATCTTAGGGACATTCCCTGGCATATTGTTAAAAACGAGGACAACGTCGACGATGCCTTGTTTGTGTGGAACAAAATGTTTTCTTAGGTTGCTGGTCAACCATGGATGAACAGTCAAATAAATGATACTATGAAAGAACGTCACTGGGCACATAAAAAGGCGCGAAAATCGAAGTCGGTGCGTCTTTGGTCAATGTATGCAAAGCTTAGGAACAAGGTTAATGGCTTGGTACGTACTGCCAAGTCAAAATATTACAGTAACATGATCGAGGAAGCAAGTGATAACTCAGAAAAGGTGTGGAAAGCAGTCAACGAAGCATGCAATCGGAACTCATCTTCAGAGAGTATTCAGTGTATTATCCCTGATGGTGTTCAGCATATAACATCCCAATCCATTGCTTCTTCAATTAATAGCTTCTTTGCTTTTATTGGTCGAATTCTAGCAAATAGTATACCGACTTTCGTCTCGAATTTAAATTCCATTTCAAAACACCCGCTTTTCCAGTTCGATTTGACTGAATTGGATCAATCATTTGTGCTTGAGCAGCTTTTGTCATTGATGGCAAATAAAGCGATTTGTCTTGAAAAAATTAGCGCGAGACTTCTTAAAATCTGAGCTCCCACTATTGCAGCATCTGTTGTTAAACTTTTGAATCTTTCAATTCGCACTAGTTAATTTACCAAATTGTGGAAATGCGCGAAAATCACGGCATTGTTTAAGTCAGGTGACAGGACTAAAGTTTCCAACTACCGCGTCATCTCAATCCTCCCTACACTAAGTAAGATTTTGGAGAGAGCGGTACACTTGCAACTGTATCAGTACTTGATTACCAATAGTTTATTGTCCAACAAGCAGTTTGGTTTCCGGAAGGGTCTCTCAACTACAACAGCTTTGACCTCATTTGCCGATGAGCTGCTCT